TGTCCAAACATGGCTGCAACACAGAGAATTAACTCTGCACTGCCTGATGGATGTTGTTCTCCGATCAGAGGTAGATGAAGCAGAGAAATCCAGTTTCCTCAACATGCTGACACTCATCACTCAACTATGTAGGAAGCAAATAGTTGACCGGGTGGCTCACAGCGGAAAAGACGTAAATAAAAAATATCTTTTTTTTTATTTCGTAGGTTTCGTTTTTCCTGCTTTGGGCCTTTTGTTAATGCAACACTGGTAGCGTGCTGTCGGAGTCATGTGGGTATGATCGATGTCTGTAGGCAGCAGGTGCTGGCAGGGGAGAGCAGAACCACTGTCGAAGGGACTTTGGTCTTTTTCTCTCTGAACAGCTCACATTTAGTGAGGATAAAGAGAGTTAAATGCCATGGCTTTATAAAAGGTAGGGACAGACTTTTGGCACCTTTTTTTTTTTTTTTTTTCCTGTGCTGTGCCGATAAAGGAAGGTAGATGAAAATGCCATCCGCCCTCTCTGTTCATGTTAGTTTTTTTGGTCTGTGGGGGGAAAGAAGCTGACTGAGCAGATCCTTTGATGAATCAGCCGAATCCACTAAGAGAGAATATAAATAGGATACGATTGGTGTGACTGAAGCTATGGTGCACGTATGTATGCAAAGTGTAATCTGAATGTACAGGGATGTAGTGTGAAATCTGACCTAATTTCCCTCCAGTTATAATGTATATTCTTTCTGTTTTGTGTTATAGTTTGCTTAATATTCAGTATATTCACATGTCTCACATGTTTACTGCCTATTTTACACCACATTATGAAGCAGCATGCATGTAATAGCATGCAGAGATGGAATGTCACACTATTAATTTATGGTAATCAGTTCAGTAAATAAAAGAAAACTGTATATTAAAACACAGCTGTAAGCCACATGAACCCCCCAAACTGACCGACAACAACATTCAGTCTCCGCTGCCGCAATAATGGAAACGTATTAATTTGAAGGAATGATTGAATGACCTGAGGGCTGAAATATTAATTTGTGCACAGCATGAATTATTACAAATGTTACATGTGATACCTGCCGGGCTCCGGAGTAATAAATGTGCAGCGTATCTACCACAAAATTAGCAAATGTAAGTGCTTCCCTGTGTGGATGTGTTAAAGGATGATTTGTGTGCTACCCCAAAGCTCTGAAACGGGAACGCCACAATTCTGTAGAAGAGAAGTTTCCAGTGAACAAAACTGATTAATTATGATTTATCAGAATTGGATTTGGTCTCTGACACCAAGACAGTTTATAAAATGCTGCAGAGTTGCAAATGTTTTGTATTTTCAAGTCGATGGGACTGAAAAAAAACAGTAGAAGAGTCATAATTTGAATAAAAAACCTGCATTAATATAAGCTCAACCAACACAGTCTGTCTGTTCTAATGCCATCATATCAAACTGGTCAGCCTGTGAGCGTTTGTTTACCATGGCTTGCTCTTCTTGTTCCTCGTTTTCCAGACATCGATGAGTGCAGTTTGCAGACGCACACCTGCTGGAATGACAGTGTGTGCGTGAACCTCCCGGGAGGCTACGACTGTGTTTGTACATCTGGTCCGGGCTGCAGCGGCGACTGTCCACAGGAGGAGGGAATCAGACGCAACGGAGAGGACTGGAAACCCAGCTTCGACCGCTGCGCTATATGCTCCTGCAAGGTAGAGGCGATGACCGCACACACTGCTGATGGAGGGTCTTAACGGAGGGTTTTCACTAGAACTATGATCTAAAACCATCTCTCCTTCATATGTTTGTGTAGCTAATCCAATAATATATACAGTGAAGGCCACAACTAGCCATAGCCGTGTCAAACTTTGACTCTCAGTCGTTTTTTATTTGACCAGTAGATGTCTTCTGGCTGGAAATGATATAAACAAGTGACAAAAGACGTGTTAATGATGACTTTGTCCTACATTTTTACCAAAAATGACATGAAAGTGTTGCGAAAATGACATTATTATACCGTTTCAAATGCTCCTGGTGATTTGACAAGACAGAAAAATAGACATACAAGTGTTTTCAAGTGTCAGTGGCCACAATTCAAAGCCTCATGAAAAAGTACAAGGAGTTCCACACTGAGGAAAATATCAAAAGGCGTTGTAGGAAAATAAAAGTGACCCCTGCACTGGGAAAAATGGTAGTGCAAGAGGCCAAGAGGAGCAGCAAGGCCATCTGGATGAATCTGAGCAGTTCTGGTCCCAGCGTCTCATTTAGACACTCGAGCAGACTGGATGGTTTTCATGGAACAAGGAGGACTCACAAAAGCTCACCTTGACAAGGAAGACAGCTTTCGGTTGTCAATTCTTTGGTCGGATTGGACGAAAATGGAGTTGTTTGGGCACAAGGACGTGGAGTGAAAAAGGAAAAGCATTGAACCCTATGAACCATGTCTCTAAAGTTACGCGTGTTGGTGTAAATGTGATATTTTGGGGCAAATGGCGTCATGAGAAGAGAGAGACTGGAGAGGAAACATCTGGCTGTGTGCAGAAAGGCTTTGAAGTGGTGGAGAAATGCTTAACAGAAAACAAATATGCATTCTGGTATGTCAAGAATCTGTGGAGGAAAGTGAAGACCAGAGCGATGACGAGGACGTTTTCCAACCTGGACTGCTTCAAGGTTCTCGTGGAGACCTGCAGAAAGAATGTCAGCAATTAGAGGAGCTGTTTAATTGCTGAAAGCTTTGCCACCAATTACAATACAATTATGGACGTTGTATTGTTTAGCAGTTCTTTTGTCACTTGTTTACCTCATTTCCAGGCAGAAGAAGCCTGTAGCTTCACTGTAAACTTCAATTTCAAAGGTTCGAGTGGGGAGAAAAAACATTATGTGCTTTAGGTGCCATTTTTCCTTAAAGCGACAAACTTTTAACCTCCAGCTTCTACATTCACATTAACCGTGACAATAGATTCTCTACAGATAAGTGTCACTTCTGCCTTTTCTCTGTCAAAAACAGAGAACGGACAGCAAGAAGAGATGAAACCAAGGATGCAAAACTCATGCATGATATGCAAGATACGTATCAAACTATTGACGGCGCCCTGATTGTGACGCTGTAGAGCACAATGAGCTGTGGGGATCCAGCTGGCTCCGCGGCTTCCTTTGTAGTCGTCGTGCACAACACGCGCATAAAGACACAAACACTCCCACCATGAGCAGGGACCGGACTGGCACGGAGAGAACAGCAATCAGAGCAAGAAAACACAAAGACATGGGAGAGAGAGGAGAAGAGATAAATAAACAATGAAGAGAATCTGAAAATAGGAATAGAGCAAAAGGGGGGAGGTGAGCTGCTGGAAGCGTTGTCTTCGTGTGTGTGTGTGTGTGTGTGTGTGTGTGTGTGTGTGTGTGTGTGTGTGTGTGTGTGTGTGTGTGTGTGTAATTGCTTCTCTTGCTTTAATTTCGGCAAATGGATTCTCCTCTTTAAAGGATATGTGTGTTTTTTTTTACTTTACAACTTGTAGTGTTTCGATTTGTGCAGATGCTTCCATTGTTGTTGTTTTTTTTTTTACACTTGTGGCAACTGTGCTGCAGAGGTCAGTGGTGGCAAGGAGACGGAGAGGGAGGGCAGAAGCCAACCTCATGAATGTGCATCGTCTTTGTCTGTGCGTTCAGAGTTCACCATAGTTCGCCGTTTCCAGCTTGTTGCAGTGGTTCGCTACAAGAAGACGAGTTGATACGGGGGCATTTTAGTGTTCCTGTGAAACGGTTCACCTCTTCACCAGCAAAGAAAAGACAGACGGGTGCAGAGAGAAAGTGTTGTTTAGTGCAGCATCGGGATCAAAGTGTGATTATACAGACAGGATGAGTGCACATGTACAGCTATACGGCGATCAGACACAGCATTAAAGCCTAACAATGGTGGTTTTCATGGATCAGGCTTGTTCCGGTGCTCAAACAAATTGGGCTCTTGGTCGTGTTCTTCCAGCTGTTCCTGAGCAGCTTTGTTGGTGTCGTGATTCAAGATAAAGAGATCAATTGAAGTGAACTCAGCAGAGGCCAGATTGTGTCTCAGTTGTCAGTGTGAATGGTATTACTGAATATTCATTCTGTGCATGCAAGGGGACATTTCCTCACATGTCTTTAAATACTCACGAGGTAAGGGAAGGTTTTTTTTTTTTTGCATTTCTGCATCAAACTAACAGCAGTATTAATAACTGACAAGAAAGAACGTGACAAAACAGGAGTTTCTCAATATTATACATACAGTCGTCCTCTAATGTATTTATACCCTTTCATTAAAAAAAAAAAGGCAAAATCCACAACAGTCACTCAAATAACTAGAAACTGAAAAAAGTAATAATAAATAAAAATTTGCTAAATTATGATTCAGTGAAATAAGACATTGCCTTTGAATTGTGGTTGAAAAGAAAATTTAAAAAAAAACAAAAAAACTGTCCCAGACAAATTAGAGCACGTTGCTAATGAGCAGTGGTCCAGAACACCTGTCAACAGGTGCAGACGTCTGATTGGGAGTTACAGAAAACACCTGATTTCAGTGATTGGCTCAAAGGGTTGTTCAACTAAATATTAGTTTACGAGTCCCATCATGCTTGTTTGCTTGTTTTTTGGAGGTTTTTTGGGGTTTTTTTTTAATATTTCCGTTGAACCACAATTCAAAAGCAGTGTCATGATGTTCATTAAGTTTTTATTTATTGTCCCTTTCCTCAATGTCAACTTATTTTAATGACAGCTGTTTTTTTTTTTCCTTCTTTAATGGGGGCTATGAATACATTTGAGGACGACTGTACTTGTTACACCTGCTGCAGACGAGACGCTGTTTCCGACTAACTAAATAGATGCAATTTAGTTATTTCTGATGTCATAGAGCGTCGTCACCATGGAACGGGGGGTTTGTTTGATCTGCAACAAGGTTTAAGTGGTTGCAAATCAACATTCACACAAAAGCCAGGACTCAGCGTTAAGCAGCAGAACATTGCATTGTTGCATGGATCAAAGTTAAGACCGTCACCTGTCAGTGATTCTGATACTGTGGCTGAGATGCTCTGTATGCACATGATGTACTCTGTTCAAAGCTACAGTCTCTTCTTATTTCAGTCGCCTGATAAGATAGCAGTCGGTAGGACCGGAGGTAGCGGAGAGCCGCCGTGCTGGAGATCCATCCTGCTGCAGCTGATTCAAACAGCAAGCGCTCGCCGTCTGAAAGCACCTTAATTGGTTGCGATAACACTGAACTCGCCAAAGTAATAGCCAAGATATGCGAACGCAGCAACAAGCAGCCAGACAATTAGACAGGCCCGAAACACAACAACAGATTAGCCAGATCATTTACGCTCTATTTGGAGGTAAAGCCAAAGGTGAGCGCAGCCATAATGGTGGTAATAATCTCCTGCTGTGCAGGAAAACTGACAGCATAATGGATTTAAACAACAGAGTCGACAGTTTGGGGAATGATTTTGTGTTTGGCTTTGTTTACTTTCGCAAATAAGTCTGAGGTTTCTTTACAAAGTGTGTGATTTTCTGACTTTTAGTTTTAGAAGTGAAGCAATTAAGTTGGTGACTACAATGTGGAGGCCAAAAATATAGAAATAAAACTCTAAAACGAGCACATATCCTTTAACTCCAGTCTCATTCATGTCAGCTGCTTGTCGGTAGCGACCACACGTCCTGTAAGTCGCTGTCTGGAGTAGATTCAGCTTTCTGTGCTGATAGTTATGAAACAAACCTCTCAGCTATTTTCGATCATTCTGACCTCAGGAATAAACACCTCTGCGCCCCCCGTCTGTTCATCGTCAGCCTACATTACATTCTGACAAATATCTGCGGCTGCTTTAACGACTCTTTTCTGTGCTGCGAATGAGCTTGTGGCTGCAGGAAAGTGAGATATTGATCAGATTTGTCTTTGGGAAGGAAAGGCTCGGTGAGTGAGATTAATACGAAGCAGACAGACAGAGGGTTATTTGGACTAAAATGACAGCTGAGAGCGGCTGCTTCCGATTGATGCCTTATCGGCTCATAAAGTTCCAAATTTACCACTTTCACTTCTACTCTGCTAAATGGTACTTGTCGTGAGTTATGGCAGCTCACTTCGGCATATTTTAGTAAATGCATCCAAGTCGGTGCCGTTTATTCGTCGTAATGTGTGTAAAATGTAATAGTGTGTGTTTTAAAAGTGTTTGCTGACATTTTTTATGTTTGTGAGTACATTTCTGACACTTTCTGGCTGAACTTTTTTAATCACAGAATTCAAATTGCTCTCTAATCTCTCTTCATAAGGAAATCTGTAGTTTGCTTCTCGTATTTTTACACTTTGTTGAAGTGACATTAACGACAAAAACCACCATCGCTACGAGTTAAAAACATATGAAATGCAGCCCTAAATGTTCATTTTATATCAAGTGCCAAATAAATATACACTCGGAGGCTGTTAAGGTAAAAATAGACCCGACATATAAAGGTAGCGGAGCAGAGAAAGCGAGACGCTCAGCTCACTCTGGGGATCAGTGTTCAGGATGGCTTCAGGAGCCGCAGCCCTGCTGATTTTCATTCTAGCTGTCAAATTAGGGGTTGAGTCGGATGCAGGATGCTGAGTAATGTAAACAGGTGGTGCTCCGGTGCCTGGGGAGCCACGCTGAAAACTAGCTGGCCTGGTGACTGTCAGGCACCCACAGAGTTGCCGCGGTTTGTGAATAGTCCAGGTGCTCTGTGGCACATTGGAGGGGATATGTTCTATTTTTTCCACATATGCATAGACAGTGGTGCAGATTCAACGTAAAAATGCCTCGTGTCTGCCTTTCTGCAAAAGCAAAGTCTGTGTATTTTGCACCATATCTGAATGATAAATACAGAAAAGCTGACGTCTGTCCATGTGTTTTGATAGTTAAGAATTACACATGTAACACTGTTCAGGTGAATAGTTAATGTTGAATTCAGAGATGTTGTTAGTATCTGAGAAGCTAGACAACACTAAATAGCATCATGTCAGCTGCATTCATGTTGTGAAGAGTTTTGAAATCTTAATTATTTTGTTCACTAACCAATATTCACTAACGAGCAATATTCAATATGACCTCCTTTGCTTAATATGAAGGCGGAAAACACAACGATTTACTTCAGAAAGTAATCTCAGAGGCATCTTGAAGAGTTTTGTTGTTGAACCTATTCTTCTCCTTCAGGGTCTCTTCTATATTAACAGAGCAGTGCACTTTAATGCCCCCCGGCATCCACAACTGGAGGGTTTAACAACAGTCGAGCTCTTTCTCCTCCAAAACAGCAAAATGACCATTTTATTTACTCGTAAGCTCATTTTATGTTGTCATGCTGTACGTCATGGTGTAATGCAGCACATAATGTAAACAAAAGTGCCATTATTAATTAAATAAAGTAGTAATTAAAGGGCCAAACTGGAAAGTTAAAATGGAAACTCTGAGCTCCAAGATCATATTAATTTTTGTGTAATCGTTCTCTGACTTTGGTCGTAGTTTCAGACTCTGTGATCGTTTAGTCGCATTCACAGCACAGCGGCGTGCCATGAGTTCATCACAAGGCGTCGCAGTTCTATAATAAAATATCCGACAACAGAAACAGCAAAATGTGTAACTGAGAACAGCTTTGGTGTGAATTCAGCTGGAATAAATGACAACATGTGTGAGCACAGAGAGCAGGAGAGAAGCTAACGGATGTAAGGTGCTGCTGAAGAAAACTGCACAGAATATAGAACAACGACATACGGGTAAAAACGTGGATTTAGATTCGTTTTCAGTGTCAACACCAGTAATTGTGCAAACTAACTGCAGCAGCTCTAGACAGAGTTCTGGTTTGTTTTTATCCACTTTCTGGAAGTCTTAATGTCAAAATTGCCTCTTTGTCGTTGTCCAAATGTCGAGTAATCAGAGAAACTAAAGGCCACCAGGTCTGAAATTACAGACATTTCAAATAAAAATATCTGAGGAGGCTGAAGTACAAAAGGGCAACTGAATAAGACAAGTGTATAGACCCACAAGACATAAAGGTGAGACACTTTTCATTCAGCTTTTGTTCAGGTTATATGTAGGAGTAAATAGATTCAAAGAATTCTGTTTCCAAAAAGGCTTCAAAAATTAAATTACTGTAAGAAAAAAAAAAAACACACCCTGGAGATGAACGCCTCCTCTGCCAAAAACAAGTCATACCTGATTAGAAAAAATGTCACCCACAGTCATCAAATTCATCATAAAGCTGTTGTCATCAAAGTTCTCATAAAACAGCAGTGATGTTTTTACGTTTAGCACAACAGCGCAGCGTTGGCATGCAGGCCTGGCGTGATCCCGCGCATTAAAACGAGCAGCCTGCCTTCGTATATCCTCCCGGCACGGTACAATTGGCAGTAATTTCCCAGCAAGTCCAGGGCCGTAACTGTAAAGACCAAGGCCATCAGTACTGGCACCCCGGGACTCAGAAGTTACTGTAGCAGGACAATATGCATCGATAAAACATTGGCTCTGTATTGCCCTTTTAATGGTATGCAGAATGATTTTATGGCCCTCATACATTTTCTAACAGCCATTTTATGTAACATTTTTACATCTCCATTACACTGCCGTCCCGGGGCCAGACAGAGCTGGCTGTGCTGAGTAAAATGGACCATAAAGTTTCCTCCAGGTGGAGGTAGAAGCAGGGACACGGCGGCTGGCTGGCTGGCTGGGGGACGCTTGCAGATTCGTCGGCATTTGGCTTCCAGCTCAGACGCTAAAAACCTCAGGCCTCGTTCACTGCTCTGTTAAACTGCTGTTGTTAGGACACGTTGCAGGTTAGCTCATGTAAATAGTTTGTCTAAGTGACCCCGTGTAGTAGAAAAAGTGGTTTCTTAAGGTGTCAGGTGCACAACTTCATGCAAAGGTCTGGATTTGAACTTAATTTAATTCAAGAACTTTAGCAATCATACCACTTAGAAAGCTAAAATCTGCATTTAGTGTTCTCTGAGGGCTTGTGTCAGATAAAAAGACTTACATTCGGGGGGAATCCCTGAGCTCATTACTGTAACCTGACTGATGGAAGCTTTCGGTTTTTAGCAGCTGTTGAGCGCCTCGTTGTCAATGAAACCTGCGCATTTTGTTTTCCACAAGCAAAAAAAAAAAACAGTAGTGCAAAGTAAAAGTGACCCTTTATGATCTCACATGTTCTTTTTTATTCAGGACATACAGTAATTATACTACTGACAGAAGACCCAGAGCTTCATGTGTCCCTCTGTGCTTTTTTTTTTTTTTTTTTTGGATTGGAATATTGATTACTTCTATCACCTTTCACCTTTATATCAATAACCAGCTGGCTGGTGTCTTCGTGGTGTGTTCAGGTGCAGCTTCTTAACATGCAGGCACCACAGCTGACAGGATTTCTCCATTCCACATAATTAAGTTATTTTAAGAAGTCTGCGGCTCCTCCAGCAGCATCGCGGTGCTTCTGTCGGTAAAAATGTTACTGAGATTTGAATGTGCGCCCGTTTGTCAAAAACAATGAGGCATAGTTTCCGACAAAGCCTCAGGAAAGTGTTCCAGCTACATTTGTTCACATCAATACTGCATCCTAATATGTACTTTATGTAAACCTCAGTGAGTCTGCAGCCCGTAGTTTTGTTTTATTTTGTTCTGCTGAAAGTTTGGACGCTGTGGGTGGACGTGAGGATATGTGTGTTTGATCCCTGACTTGCATCGTGCAGGACGGCCAGACGTACTGCAGGAGGAGACCCTGTGACTGTGGCGACCCGGACGAGGATCTGTTCTGCTGTCCTGGTTGTGACAACAGGCCCAGCAGCCAGTGTCTGGACCAGAGCGGACGCACGCTTTACCGCAGCGGGGCGTCTTGGCTGTACGGCTGCCAGCAATGCCGCTGCATGGTCTGTACACAGAAACACACACAAACAGATTCAAACATCAGCTACATGTTTTTTTTACCAACAGAAATGAAAGCAGACCTTTTTATTAACCCTCTGAACTTCAGAACCTCTCACGGGGTTTGAAAGGCTCGTTGTCTTAAAGCCAGAAAGCTTATCAGAGCCAGAAACTGTAAACACAGAAAAAATGTTAGATTTTCAACTTTCTGACAGTCTTTGAAGTACTCATCTATTAGGAACACTTAACCAAGTTGAAACAAGATAGTTCATCAAAATGACTTTAGTCTATGAGTCTTGTTTGAAAGATCTGCAGAAGCAAAGGATTCAGTGTCCCTGGGTGCAACCAGAAAGCCATTAGAGACTCACCTTTAACCAACAATTCAGAGACTTTTCACCTGAACTGGGCTGAACTGCAGGCAGTGTTTACACCAACCAGAGTGGAAATAAACTAAATAGCTTACGTTGTGTTCTAATGTTACAGGAAAAAGTGTTTGGAGTTCAGAGGGTTAGATCAAGGATTGTCATAAAACACAGAATTTCATCGCCAGCATGAATATCGAAGCTGGGTCTTCTTTAAACGGGCAACACACAACTTTTGTACCCCCAGTACCATTAGCAACGTGGCTACATTACACAGATTTACTCTTGTTTAAACTTGGATTCTTTCGCTCTCCCTCTTCGCCTTTTTTTTGCCTCCACTGATGTCAAAGCTCTTTTTCATTTGCCAAGTAGAGCTTTAACAGTCACGCCATTTGTTCTTTTAACGGTAAATCGAGCCCTAATTTTCTGGGAGATTTCGGACCCAGTGTCAGAGGGAAATGTATAATGCAAGCGAGGCTTCGAGGGAACCATCCTAAAAGCCAGTGGTGCCATTATTCTATAGCTATATACTGTGCAATGATCATCTATTTTAAAAATGGTAAGTTAAAGCAAAAACTTGTCTGGTCTGTGAACATTCATGCATTGTGTTTTTTTTGTTTTTTAAACCAAACGTGTAAAAAGCAGAGCCATTGTTTTTTGAGCCAGATATCAAATTATGCAAACACATGATCTATACCAGGTGATATCAGATAATAGATAGATGCATCCATCCGCCCACATAGGCTAGAAAAAGAAATCATGTAGATACATTATTTAGTTACATAGAATTGTGTGAATTTAATAGCCTAATTAATAATATGTGGAAACAGTTGTGGTCTTTCTCAAATAGTGTTACCAAGTGTGACCTACTTGGTGCTCACTGTTCCACATAGCAACAGGCTACTAATTATCGTCATAGTCTATGACATGATTAACTGAGTGTTCACTTTCTATAGCTATTGTGAGTTGTTCCTACATTACAACCTTGACTTTAAATTACATCAGTACAAAGCTGTGGCATTCCAAAGTGGACAAATCAATCTGTCAAAGCAGTACCGATCATTATCATATTGATTTGCAGAGGGTAGGGTCTTTAAGTTTATAGCTATACTGTAGTTTTATGCACTAGTTATTAACGCTAGCCTCTACAGAAGGTGTTTTATCAGTGTAAAATTTGCATTGTTTAGCTAATTTATGCAAAAAATTCCACGTAGTATAAAAAGAAATCTGCAAAAAAACAAAAACTGGACCAAATATGGTTCGACTGTGACAACAAATACTAAAAAAAAAAAAATGGCTGGGTTTTTTTTTCAGTTTCTGGTTTGAAAAGAACAGCCTGAGCACAGGGATCGTTTAATACCTGTCCCTGATCTGCTGCTCAGCTGTGTGTGAGGGCTGAGATAATTACCACCTCTCTAATTCCAGACGTGGCAACACATCAGCATGTGAGCTGTAACTGTATTCACACACACACACAAAAAAAAAACCCCAACACACACACACACACGGTGACAATTGTGTTCCTTTTTCTTTTGTGTCTCTGCAGGAGGGGGAGGTGGACTGCTGGCCTGTGGTTTGCCCCGTGTTGATGTGCGAGTACACGGCGGTGGCGGAGGGCGAGTGTTGCCCGCGCTGCGTCACAGACCCCTGCCTGGCTGACAACCTGTCGTATGACATCCGGCAGACATGCAAGGACCCCGCAGGCATCGCCCGCCTCAGCGGAGACACATGGCATATGCCCAAATCACCCTGCACCACCTGCAAGTGTAAGGTAGGTCAATGCGACAACAACAGCCACAACAGCAGCTCATTTTTACAAACAAAAGGTCCACAACAACCCGGGAGTTTTTCATTAAGCAGTCAGCAATACTCATATCTTTTAAAGGATTATTCCGGTTTATTCCACGTGACATTGATTTTGCATAATGGGTCTTGCAAGTTTTGCATTCTCCAACACTGTGTATATCATGTATATCAAGGCAGGAGGTACACACTCCCGCCAGCTCTCCAAAAAATCTGATTTTTACATGCTTCATTTGTGTTTGAGTCTGACTGAGAAAACCCAAAGAAATTAGCCACCAAAAGAGGCAATTATATAACTGCAGGTTTGTTTTCATGCGTGAGGCTGACCATCATACACATGGCTTTATTTTATTTATTCATCCTTTTTTTGTTCTCTGAAAGTTCTTCAAAGTTCTATATCACATATCTATATCTATATTATATATCACAATACAGGAATATTTAATTAACTGTCACTGGAGGACTCGATTACATCTTGACATCATTTTTTAAATTTTGGTTTGGCAGTGTTCTTCCTTTGTTATCATGGGAGATAATCTATAGCTGTGACAACATCTTCCAAACATCTCCTCATGTTGCAGTTTATGTCCTAATAGAGTTTCAAATGTTCTCTGAAATAAAACATTTTTAGTCTAATGTTCGAACACTGTTAGAACTTTTTAAGTAATGTTGTGGCCTTGGAAGTCACTTCCCATGTTTGCTGTATTTATTCAAACAGGAGCTCATAGAGAAGGAGCTAAATCAGACTGAAATGAGACAGAGAATGAAGAGACAAAAGCACAAAGTCAACAGGACAGTACCTCAGGAAACTGGTCAACCGAGGAGCAAAACCTTTGTTGCTCAGGATGTAGTGTGACTCACTGGATGTAGACTGTGGGTATAAGTCTGCCAGAGGCTGCTCATGTCAAGCAGCTTTGTCCACTCCTTCTGACATTTGCATGTTACTATTGTCTGTGCTGTGAAGAACAACCACCACCTCCAGGCTGCCAACCAATCACACTAAAAAAATTCAAGTTTTGGCAAGGAGTTGCATCATGCAGTTCGGCTGCTCTGCTCGTTTTTTTGTTTTTTTTGTTAGTAGATGATCTATTTTAATCACAGCGCTCGTCTCCTTGCATGCAAATGTTCCACCTGTCACTAATTTGCTGTCCACGCTGAATGTATTTGGTTTAAAGAAATACAAACAAGCCGGAGCTGTAGCAGAATGATAGCGTGGTGCAGTCAGACCGTTCTGTACCACACAACGGACCGGCAGAGCAGGACTCCTCAGAGCGAGACCTGCTGATGCAAGACTTAGAAAATCTCAGTGCCTTCATGGATGAGTGTAATCCCAATTATGTAACTGCAACAATTTAAAGCTTTGATAAACATTAACGTTCTGGAGATGTTGTTTTTATGGCCTAAAATGAACTGGAGGACAAAAGAGCAACCACACCAGCCGGTCAGCTTTCCATATCGTAATTAAGAGCTAGTACAACAAGTGTAAAGTCATTTTATGTGCTGGAGGCCTCATTTGCTACTGCCTCCTGCACAAACACATATTTACCAGAGCAGCATAAACAAACCAGCATGCATGGGTGAGTATGAGGGCTGACCTAAAGTAGGGTAATTACATCAATCAGTAAATCGTCCCGGCTGGAGATCCTTAATGCATTTGGCACAATGGCTGCTCCGGGCTGCTAATTTCTGTATTTACTTTTAGTCAAACTCAAAAACAAACAGTATTTGTGTAAAGCTGCGAGGACATTTTGCTTTGTGCCTCAACATACTGTACAGAGTTTGTTTGCCTGAATCACTACAACAGAAGTAGGAAGTCAAGTCAAGGCACTGGTAAAACAATAACTTCTGACAAAAAAGCGATTTCCAGAAAGATATTATTATCATTAAACAGCAAAGCATGGCCAATAAAGGCATAGTAGCCACATTTAGGAGAATCAGAATTATCCATTAATTTTAAAACATTCATTTGATTTTTCTTCTACTCCCTGAAAACGGGCCAATAGACATGTTGGTTTGGGATGCAAAATTGTCACGCAGTCACAGACGCTCAAATCTGACCAGGAACGACAGGCATTGCAGCACCGGTACTGGAACATTCTTGAAGGGACAAAATGTGGTATAGTTAGCGGCTGCTGGAGGGCATCCAGCGTCTTGCACGTCTGTCTTCTGAGATGAATACAAAAACAAACGACAAGAAAAAAAAGAGAAAATGACTGTCATATATGATGAAATGGGCATGTAATCTTAAAAGAAATGTAAAATATGCAGCTCTTTGTGGCGGGAACACGTCAGATCGTCTTTGTAGAAATTACCCACTGCTCCTCAATTCCTTTTTTTCTCCAATCAGAATAGAAAATAGACCAAAATAAGCTCTTCAAATGCTTGGACATAAACTATATTTAACCATGACACTGGTGTGTAGTTGTTGCTTAAACTGGATTTGCATAGCATTCTTAAAGGTCTGCACAACACACCGGTCAACACAGTGGTGGAACTGAGCATTACTGATGCACTCACATCTTCAAGAGGTTTCATCTCTCATATAAAAGTTTTTTTTTAAGTTCTGACTGGCAGCGTGTTCCAGAAGTTTTAGCTACAGTGGAGTTATTGGCATCTCGAGAGCCATTGAGCTTGCATGTGGTGAGGTGTGAGGAATCTCAGAACTGCATCGTCAGCATCTGATAAGTACAGACCACTTCCTCCGTTTAATGATGGTTGCTCCAGCTTGATGTCGATTGTTTCTGTCTCTTCTCCTGAGAACCATTGGTTTTCTCCGACCAGAATGTGTATATCGTTGTCCTCAAACTTGTGCCTGAACTTTTGTTGACCCAGGTGTTAAAAAAAAAAAGAAAACTTGACACAGCAGGGTTCAGATTTTAGTTGGTTTGCACAATAAAAAGCTGTGAAGTAACCAGTGTACTCCAATGCCCTCTACTACTCTGGAAATGTGTGATGTCCTCCACAATGCACACAGAGAAACCTGCTTCTACAAGCTGAGCTATGTTGTCTATAAAGTGTAACGCAACATTGAGTGTCTATAAGGAAGACTTAACAACCACAAGTGCATTGCACAGCAGAGGGAAGCCACTCAGCAGTCCGCCTGCAATCCAAAGGATAAAGTACATGTTATGGATGACAGCAATGTACACATTCTGGACGGAGTGGTTTGAGAAAGGAGTTAACGAAGCCATTTCTGTTAAGCTGGAGCAGAGAAGGAAGTCTACAACACCGCTCATCATGTACCGACAACGCAGGCATGACATCCCCTCCAGGCAGTTTCACCACCTTTCACACCATCAGCCATGAGAGCTGGTGGGGAGAATAAGTAGCAGGGACTTCCCGCCAGTGAGCCAAGGAAGTCTCCGCATGAGAGGCCTCGATAAATAGCATCATGTCTTCTTAGTGATAATCTAATGTTCAGGTTCTCTATTCAGACATGTAGAGTGTGGTTTTTTCTTACCTGACAGTTTCGGCGACAAACGCTCGCCTTCTTCAGAGATGACAACTAACAGCGAGTGACGTGTCAGCCGGCGGGGCGGTCGGGTCTGTTGGGCTTGCCACGACACACCATTTCGGTGTGGCCGTGGCTTGCCTGGCGGATCTGGCGGCTCGGCTGGACGTGCCGCAGGTGCCGGCTGTCAAAATCTGCCGGCTGACACGTCACTCGCTGTCAGTTGTCATTTCTGAAGAAGGCGAGCGTTTGTCGCCGAAACTGTCAGGTAAGAAAAAACCACACTCTACATGTCTGAATAGAGAACCTGAACATTAGATTATCACTAAGAAGACATGATGAACGTTTTCGAGCTATGACCTCAATGTCTAATAACAAAACAGGAGAACTAACTGTTCAGGTCACAACTTAGCAGGCCATCTATGTCTGAAGAACAACTGACACTGATTTAAGGACAACAGGGTGCGCAGAATCAACTGTTCAAAATAGGGTAACCCAATTTATCAGTTACTTACAATGCAGTTTCGAAATCCCTTCACAGACAACTTAACACCATTATTACCTTGACTCAGGAGACTAAAAACTCACATGACAGCAGGGGGGGGTTAATTAATGACTCTAAAGGTGCAAAACATTCCACAGTGCTGTTTAATTGTAGAAAATACTATTTTAGAACAGCAATGGTTGAACGCTAGACCAGAAATTTTGTTAACTCCACAACAGCTGCTGGCATAGACAATAAGTTCAGTTTAATTGGTATCTGTACTGAAGTAACCATTGCTAATCAAGGTTCAAGTGGTAGAAGTGTCACAAATCAAGAAACTAACAGGAAGGCCCAATGAGAACACAAACATGAACATCTGCGTCATTGTTTTGTCAAAAGTCTCAGTTTCTGAATCCTGGAGTTTCCAAACTAAAACAGATACAACAGTATTTTTTAATTTATATTTTTTAAGTCTCAATTTAAGGGTTCAAAAATACCAATATAGTTATACGTTATGTGTTTTCAAATGAAATTCCATTAGTTTGGATGTTGCCTAAATGCCTGCTAATCAGAACTGAAGAACCCTTTCAGATGAGGGGTGAAACGTCTTCAGAAAAACTCCAGCAAGTCCAGTTGCCTTCCTTTCAGCACACATATATACCACGACCTGTAAGAGTCTTCTTCGACATACTGCTGTTCAACTTCTCAAATTTTGCCATTGCTTGGAGCCACATATTCAAAATTCTGCCCAGTGTACCGGACGTCTCAGAGACGGATATCTCCAGAGCAGGTACAGCAGGTACAGCTGAATGACTGGAGACCAGGTTAGCGTTCCCAGTCTTGATAGATGAGACGAGTCAGGCGCTGAGCTTACTTATTATGTTCGACATGTATAGTATGTTTAATGCCCTCTGTCTCTTCTGTCCTTCACAGAATGGGAACGTTTGCTGCTCGGTGGATCTCGACTGCCTTCAGAACAACTAAAGCTCTCCTCTTCCTCCTCCCCTTCCTCCTCCTCCTCGTCCTCCTCCCACCGTCGTCCTACTCTCCTTTCCACCGCGAGACTGCCACGCCCCTCCTCCATCTGACAACTCCCCCCCTCGGATTCATAAGACAGACTCTCGCACACACATGTGCATGGCAGTGTGTGCACAGAAAACACCGACGCGCACCGGACAGGCTGGGGTGTTGAGGCTGTGCTTTCATGCCGCAACTTCGGTCGACGAGCAGAAGAGCGAGAGCGTGTGTGTGGCTCAGGAGGAGACTGAGGCCGTATAATCGCTCTCACCACCGTCACTGTGTCGTGTTTGTGTCTTTGTGTTTGACTGCATTTCACTAAATGTCTCGAGGAAATCCCTGTTTAGTGTCTCAAAGCCCGAACCAGAGACAAACTGCTGGACAGATGTTGAGGTGCTCCATCTGTCTGTGTTGCCTAAACGTGGACTCACTATTGCTTGGTCACCCGCGGCGAAACGTCACCTTTGATAATTTTTTTAAATAGCTGTGGACTACGTTCTTCTTGGATACAAACATCGAGTGTGTAGGAAAGAATATGAAAGAAAATAATCTCAACTTTTAAGTTATTTTAGTCCAAGTTTATGACTCCGTGGCTAAACGTGCAAAAGGGATAAAACAAATCGATGGCGCATAAATTCTCTGTAAATAAAACTATGACAACATCAGATTTTGTGGTGCCAACGTCTAACGCTGCATCCTGCAATGTCCAAGTTTCTAGACGGGTCGGCTGTTTCACAACCGGCTGACACGGCCCGCCTAGTTTTAAAGCATTTCATAATTAGTGTGGCCACGAAAGGCAGCCACCTGATTCCAGATATTTAAATGCAGCCCTCAGTATCCCTAATATTAGCATCTGAGATGGGAGCAATGTAAATTTTTTTCCATGATGACAGGCTTCTTTCCTGCTTTTATGTGTGGCTGCTCATAACAAGTAGATATTTCTGCCTATAGATGTAGTCAGAGTACAAAGTGGTTCACTGCAAGCATAACCCCGCCTTCAGTCCTGAGGTCCTTAAAATGCCAAACCTTAAATAAACCACATTCTTCAGAGCATCCAGGCTCTAAACTGAGACATGGCGGTCTGTCTGTCCGTCCGTCTCGGCCATTAACACTTCCAGCACTTTCCCTTCGGCCCCCGTGTCTCCTCTCTGAGGATGACCGCCAACATGCTCACGTATAACAACAACAACAACAGTCGTGATATCAAAAAAGCGTGTGAAAGCAGCGTGATGGTGCACAACATATTCCTGCAGGCCAGAACAAGCACCAGCCATAGCTGTTGATTAAATCAGCAGAGCTCCTGCTTGGTCGGACTCTGGCATCTCCCCGGGCTCCTCGGCTCTGCACCATATGGCACACAGAGAGTGGCTGAGAGACAAAAAAGAAAAAAAAAAAAGAGAAAGCGGGGATAATTAAAGCCATGTCACGCAGGCCTGGATTTGAGTATGCCAGGAGGTCACCAAGTGTTGAATGTGTTTACAGACAGCCAGGCTTATTAAGGGAGGAGAGTCCGGTGCTTTTCTCTGCCACAGTTCACACGTCTGCAGCTCTGATGCCCCTCCGCTCTGCTCTCCTGCCCCGTCCTCTCCTCCACACCTCTCTCCATTATCCTCAAACTTGTCTCGAGAGCGCTGCTGTTTTCCCTCCTGTGTCATTGTTATCGCCTTGTGTCAGCTGCCACAAGGAACCAGAGGAAACTTCCAATGCTGTCTCACAATTTTTCAGCAAAGACAATGGAAAAGCAAACTGTGTTTTGCCACTGTGACTTTTGCTTTGACCATGAAATGACAGCAGGAATCTAACACGCCATGTTCCCCTCACTGGTTAAGCTCAACAGTTTTTTTCTCTGAACTTTTTCCTAAACTAAACTAATTTTTAGAGGAATAATGACTGGCTCCAGCAGTCAAGGTCCTCTCCATGCTTTCTTTCCCCTCTTTTATTTGTCTGCAGACAGTCAGCACAGCTGCAGATATCACGACTCATTTTCTTCCCTCAGAAGAATCCATTTGCTGCCTCAGAATGAAAAACAGCTTCCAGAGATTGTGATAATCCTGCACAGTGAAAATGAAACTTTCACTTGGTTTTGTCAAAGTTCCGCCTCCTCCCCTCCCTGTTTTTTAAAAAAACTTGAGTGCAGGCCTTTGCATATAAATGAATATTTGATGCATTCGAGCCCTCGTCAGACAAGTTCACACGATGACGATGAAGCCCATCAGCGGCAGGTAGATCACTTTAAATCTGGTGCATGTGGTAACGTTCCTGCAGTGGTTGGATTGCCATAGTTGAAGAGGGAAGCAAGCATGGCAGAGATGACGAAGGCCACAGCAACTAGGAGTGGGATGGAGACTATGGCGGAAACATCTAGAAAGCTGGCATTCAGAGAAGAATTATGGTCCAAAAAAAAAAAGACGGAAGAGACAGAAATCAGTCAGTAGCCTAAAAGATATTAAGGTTAATTCTGGATCTCTAACATTAAAGTCCAAACTACATGACTTTTACCACAACTGTCCTGCTCCAGAGACAAAATCTTTAAAGTCCACTTTCAGTAACATGTTTCTGTTGTAGTTAAAAAAAAAAACAAGACGATCTCATCGAGCACCAAGATAGAGGATCTCTGTCGTCTTCACTAGCGCTCCCACGTGACAACAACTGGCAAAGTAGTGAGATTTTGAACCTGTTGTAGTCTGCACTCGCTATAATAGGGAGAAAAGAGTTTGATGTATTTTATTTGAGATTGGAACTGGCTTTAGGTTCGACCGCGGTGTTTGGAGTTGAAAGTAAATGTCACTGCCATTTCCCTCCCGCTGCCCTTCCTTTATTTAATGTCAGACCGGTTCTTGTTTCTGCTCATGTTTCTGGTCCCACACAGAAGCAGCAAACAACTGTATTTCTCTACTTCTTTTTTTTTTTTCTCCTCCACACATTGTTTGGATCCTAGAACATCAGTCGACTTAAATCAATCCAGCTCTTTGCCCAACTGGGGGGAAAAAAATGTGTACATTAACTCCAGATTAACATAATTAGCTGCAGGGCGCGCTACCTGCTAGCCTTATTAGCCTATATGAAGTATAAATTAACATAAAAAGTTGGCATTTGCAGCACATTAAATAACTGGAATTTTCTGCATAAATGCTAAAAATAGACTCGGAGACGACCTGCTTGCATTTGCACATATCCGTATGATTTTATGAAAACAGAACTGGATCAGCTTGTGCGGGAAACAACACAAAC